TGGCTTTGAGACTTAACAGAGAAAAGCCTGACACACACTAAGTATTCTGTGAATGTACATTATCATAGGTATCCTCAACAGTGCTACTGAGTCTGTGTGTGCATGTGTGCCTGTGTGTGTGCCTGTGTGTGCCTCTGTGTGTGTGTCTGTGTGTGCTGTGAAATACTGTCAATTCCACTATTTTCTGCTTCTATTTTTTATGTTTTGATGTGTGTGAGTGTCTTCTTAACCTTGAGAGCTGGTCTTGGCCTTTTATTCTTTCTGTCTCTTTGTCTTTCCCTTCCTTATTCTCTCTCTCCCTCCCTTCTTTATTTTCTCCCTCCCTCCTTCCCTCCCTCCTCCCTCCGTTTCACTCCTTTAGGAAATCCAGTTTCAGCAGAGGGCATCTCTTCTCCCTGAGGTCATTCATGACAAATGACCTTTTATTACCTGCTGATTACACTTAACCCAGATTTTCTTTTTCTGTGGCAGCCATGCAGTACCTTAGGTTTATTAAATGGAGCTGTTTCTGCATGTGACTCTCCCAGACTCTGTGGATTTAATTCTAATTTAATGTGCCACTCCAAGACAGATTGTGCTGCTGCTAAAGTCGTGATTTGTTCTTTTGTTCTCTCAGGATCTAAAACTACCACTACCACATGGACCTTGGAAGCCCCTCGGACATATGTCAATTGCTCTGAGTGGGCTGACCTTCTGGGAAATAGAGGAGCCATGAAGTTATTGTTTTTAAAAATATTTGTTTGTTTATTTTTGTTGGTTGTGGTGTTACATGTGAGTGTGTGTGTGTGTGTGCATGCACATGCACGTTTGCATATGTCTGATGGAGCTCATTCACGTGCCTCAGCACACACGAGGAGGTCAGAGGACAACTGTAGAGTTGGTTCTCTCCTTCAGACTTTCAGTATGTTTCGGGGATTGAACTCAGGTCTGTAGGATTGCACAGCGACTACTGTCTTTAACCACTGGACGCCTGGCTAGCTGCAGTCACGGGTCTTCTGAACTGTAAGGATCTACTTAGTACCAACTTTGTGACCACAGTATCAACAGCCTTATCAGGGCCGTTTAGAAAATACAAAGATTATCACTGAGCACTATTGGAATAATCCTGAACCTGGAATGCAGTCATCAATTGCAGGTTACCATTCTTTAAAATAACCCCAACTTGTGAAATACCAAGTCAGCTTGAATCAACAACATCGTCTAACCAGAGAGCACTTGCTCTGAAAGTATGGGTCATGAAGGGTAGAGTAGAAACTGGGGAGGAGGCTGCTGGCCATTCTGTTACAGATACGTCATGCTCAAGAGAAGCTTCAGAAGGAGACCCTGCTGGGGCAGTGATTCTGGGATCAGGGTCACTCATGTTCTCCTGCCTACTTACCCAGGTACCTGCAAGAGACCCCAGCCTTCTATATAGGTATTAGTCATGCCCTATTTAGAAAGCCATGCTCCTGAGGTACTGGAAGGACTGTGATCTTTATAGGCATGTATTTGTTGATGGTTAACCCCGAACCCCCAATATCCAGTCCCACTTAAAATATGAAGCTTGGAGAAGGAGGCAGAGGAGGACTGAGTGTCTGTTTTCCGAAGACTCAACACCGGAACAATCCAATGAGGATTAACCAGTCAACTCAAAATTATATGTGAAATGAAGCAGAAATGCCTTCCTTGTAATACATTTCTTAAACACTCACAACATGCTAGGCTGTAAGATATAAACTTACTAGGTACTAGTACCTTAACCAAATGGTACTGAACTTGGTCATGGAATTGCTTTAGCCAAACCCTTTTCCTGCAGTAGTCCACTGACAGTTCCTGCTAACTGTGAGTTGCACACACAGTTAACTTCCATCCTGCATAGCACTGAGTTGACCTAGCTTCTTCCTGCCGTCTTTTCACTCTGTAAAGTTTTCTACATGCTTGGTCCTCTTTGACCACTTTCTGCAGAGAAAAATTCAGTAAGTAGCACCAAAAGGGTAAGCTTACGCGGAGCTTCCTCTGTATCTGCTGACAGAGTCTGTGCTCTCAAAAATGGGGAAGTGTGGACAAAGCAAGCCACTTCTCAGAACCAGCCTTTCTGCATTCCAGTCCTCAGGTACATACCTTTTAGAGGTATTTTACAACTCATTTTTGTTGTACAGATTCCTTTACATGGCTGCTCTGTGTAACATCTAAAAATACTATCCTTTAGAATGAGGAAGAGCAGAGGCTGAGGGCTGAACATGAAGAACGTTCACATAATACTTCTTTGCCTTGATTCAATTCTAAACTCAGTAAAACAGGTCCTTGCCATGCCCAGCCTCTGCCTGTCAGTTAACTGGTGGATGGATTTTTACCACAGGTACCCTCAAGACCATCGAAAGCTGTTTTGGTTTCAGAAATTCGTAGCAAGATAACTGGTTAAAGTCAATCACAAGCAAAAGCTGAGGCTGGGTTTATATGGGTTGACATTAATATTCATATGTTAATGCATAGGAAGTAGTGTAAACACAGTGGACTTGTTAAAGACCTTAAATTTCAATTTGATGGAAACAAATACTATCATTGTCTTGATTTGTAAAAGATGCCAAACATCATACAACCCAATAAAGGACTTTCTTGTATAAAGTTCCTTGGGCCAAAATCTATATTTATTTACACGGTCACATATTCAAGAAATGAGTCGCTTTCACTGTGTCTGAGCACACACAGTCTTCTTGTTCACAGGAATCCCACTCAGTGCTGGAATCACTCTGAGGACTTACTCAAGCTGTTCTTTCATGTTGTTTTGACTCTTTCACAATAGACTTCTGTCCCAGCAACTGAGTCAATGACATGGAAAACCACAAATCCATGCTGATTGATAATGAAGGCTTGGAAAAGTGGCCCAGCCAGCAGCACAGCCTACTTTTACTGTAGCGCAGATCTCACATCAAACTGCTTGAGGCTTGATGAAAGGCATTGACGTCTGATCTTACCTTCTCGGAAGCTTTGATGGCCTGTTCTGCTATTGGTAGACATGAAAATACACTACAAAAAAAAATAAACAGGAATATGCTAGAAGGAGATGTTGTAAAACAGTTGGCTGAAGTAAGGGAATAGTATGGTATCAGAAGCAGTCCCTGTTTGTCACTTAAGTGATGACATTTTAAAATGCAGGATGAACTACTCCCACAATCCATACTTGAAGGGCCAGCAGACTGTGACATGTGGACAGCTCCGTATTAGATCAAACTCAGATGCTTAATGTTAAAGAGGTGGGGGGTTGGGGTGAAAATAGAAGATTTTGCAAAGTTATGACATTGGCATAGCACTACTTACAAAGTTTCAAAATCCTATGGTCATATTATAAATTTCTATGACTGTAGATTATACACATAGTAACATATTTAAACATATGTGACATGATCATAGGTGTGTAGGGGAACAGAGGGGCCTAATAGAAGGAGGAGGCATGAGAAAGAAGGCAGGTATGGGGAGATATGCTCATCATACAGCATACACCTGTGTGTAAGGAGACCTATGTAGCCACAGTGTCATGGACAATGGATACATTGTAGCAATCCAGTTTTCATTGGAAACATCTAAAGAAGTTGGTAGTAGCTTTTCCCAGGGAGGAGAAAGGTTGAAGCAATGGCCCAAGAATAAGCCGGCATCTTTATCTTTGTGTTTAAAAGAGGCGAATTGCTAATCAGATGGCTTTTCTTTTTGCATTTATGTTCAGGGGGTAGGAGTGATGTCTGTGTGTGAACGTGCATACCTGTGTCATGGCATGATCATGGAAGCTAGAAAGAAGCATGAGTGGGTTGTTTCCTTCCACCACGCCAAGTCTAAGGTTCTAACACAGGTTGTGAGACTCAGTAGCAAGCACTGCCAAGCTGGCTCACTCCCTGCTCCCAGTAATATTAATTTTAATGTTTAAAAATATGCTGAATAGCTAATAACAAACACATAAAAAGTCCTCAAAACAAAACCATCAAAACAGGTTAAAACCTGAAGCTGGGGGAAGTGGGGAGAACGACAAAATGTTGGTCATGGTAAATGTGTCTTGTAGAAACAGGGGTGCCTGTCTCTTTGTTGTATTCCATTGTAATTTTAGAGAACTTCATGGGTAACTAATAAAAAGATGACTCATGTACTTTCTGTCTAAATCAAAAGAGATTAAGGTTTGAAAAAGGTACATGTAAATGAATTACCTGACATTACAAACTAATCCTGTTTTTCTACTGGGCATTAAAATGAAACAACACACAAGTCCGGGCCAAACTTCATAGTTAAAGTCTTTTTTTTTTCTCATGATGGTAGTACAGCTAATCTTTAAAGACAACACACGTTATTCCTCACCACAAAAACACACCAAGTAGGAAAGCTAAGTAGCAAGTGTGTTTCTGTGTACAGAAATGGCTTGCCGTGAGTCACCGTGTTGATGTACCCGAGACCAACTTTTCTACCCTGACCTCAATTGTTTTGAAATGTGCACTGTGATTTGCATGGGTGTGTAATGCTGCCTGCAACTCAGACACCCCCCTCGTTAAATATGTTTGTCTTGACGTTGTCTAGAGTGGGGCTTCCCAAAGCATTCTCAAGAAAGATTATTCAGATGTGCAAAGGTGACAAGGGGTATTTTCTTGCTTTCCTCTGCTGCCAGTTGCTTTTGAAGTTCGTTGCATTCGACTGGCTTGGTGGGTTTGAGTGTTGAGAAACAGGTTTTATTATGTATCCCAGGCTAGCCTCCGGTTCTGTCTCCTCCTGCCTCAGCCTCTCACATGTTGAGATTACATGCCTGTGTCACTGTGCCTAGCTTGCTGTTGTAAACATTGGTTTTCTTTCTTCAGAACTCTTTAAATAAAAATAGCCATGGTGCTTTCCTGAGCTCTTGAGAAAGATCCAGGAGATGAGAGCACTGTGTGTGATCTTGGAGCCCATGAGGCTACAGCGTCCATGATCGTGTATGTGTTCTCAGTCTGCTAAGGCCTCAGATCAAGGGCTGCGCTTCTCACCATGCAATGCTACTTCTTTTTCAGTTCAATCTCACCATTTAGCATCGAGAGCACAAGACGCCAGAGACGATCAGAATCCCCGGACTCCAGGAAGCGGCGCATCCACAGATGTGACTTCGAAGGGTGCAACAAAGTATATACAAAGAGTTCTCACCTGAAGGCACACAGGAGAACACACACAGGTATAGCTCCCATGGGCTTCTCATGTTGGGGTGGAGGGGGCACGGTGAGGGCAGTGGGAAATGACAGCAGCTCACCCGGGCTCATTAGTGTATGACAGACATTTCTGAGCATTGTGAGTTTGAGTCATTCCTTCTGTCTTGCATATATTTTCTTTTCTAAACACTATGAACAGAGTGAGCTAATCATCTTCCTGATAATCAACTTTGCCACTTAATAATTATGTAATTTATTAGGTTTTTAAAAATATCCACAGGACACTTCAAACAGCAAGATGAACAAAATTCTTCCTTTCCTTCAAACTACGTCTAATTCACCACCATCCTTGGGGCACATGTGTTCTGTTTTCAATACTCTCCCTCTTTATTTCAGTCTAGTTTTAGTGTTTTTAAGTCATAGTTTGTCTGTGTAGCCCTGGTTGTCCTGGACTTCATTCACTCTGTAGACCAGACTGGCCTCAAACTCTGAGATCCACCTGCCTCTGCCTCCCACCTGCTGGGATTAAAGGCGTGCGCCACCACTGCACGGCAATACTCTTGTTCTTAAGTAGCAGAGAAATGAACTTAAAACTCAAAATGTATATATACAAATCAGCACTGAGGGGATTTTTAAAGCCAGTTCCATAAAATCCTATGTGATTTTCCTTGGTAGTTGTTGTCCCATAGGGGACATATTTTTCAATACTTACAGAGAAAAGAAATTGATACCACAAGTAATTCACAATTTAGCCACAATTCAACTCTTCATCCTCCCATAGACCTATGCCCCAGCCATCTCGAGAGCACTGACTGTCATTATTAGCCATTGACCACAGTATCTTTTTTGTGCTGTGTGGCCCCTGGACTTCTAAATACACTCAATGGGAGCTACTGGCAAGGAAAACAAGACAAGAAAAGCTTACCACCACTCTGCCTTCTGGACCATACCACACTGCTAGTGACCGAATTCAGTGACACTCAAAGGAGCGGATGAAACAGGGAGACAGTCATAGCCTCCCTGCTGAAACAGGCCACAAACCAGCAAGTCCTGTCAAGTGCCTGTCATTGACACAGACCAGACTCCAGCAAGGTTCTCTCATGGGAAGATTCAAGCATAATAGATTCCTGTGTGACTGTGTAAAACGCATTCTCCATCATATCAAAATAACCACTCAAGGCAAACCACTTCCCAGATTAAATTGTAAAATCATTTAAACTGGCCTTCTTTGCCATTTCTTGAGCCCATGTTACTCCATCTGTTTGCAAAGTCATGGGCCAGAAGCATTAATCATGCATGCTTTCTACAGGGGCTGCAAAAGCGTGCAACATGCTATAAATTCATGAGTTTAATTGGAGTCCCTCCACAATTACACCCTTGAGCATATTTTGTCATGCTGGTCATTATTGTAACTCACAGAGTTCACAACTGAGTAAGACTGTTGCTGACTCCATCCCAACCGAGCAGCCTGCACTGCACCTTCCAGTACTAGGAGAACTAGCCAACAGGAAGTAAGTTTTCTGGTCAGTACCCACTTGGCTTCTGCATGCACTATGGCCAAAGTATGTGATGATTTTAGCAGTGGAGTTGTACAGTCAAGTACTGCTGGATAACCAAGATCAATAGCTTTCATTGTTCGAGGGTGTCTCTGGGATACCCCTGATCAACAAGTCAAGGAAAAATATCCCATAACTGGCCCTGGAATTTATATCTGGCAGCCTATGACTTCTGGGAGAAGTAGCATGTTTTAAGCAGGGAAACCCTAATTAAACAGAGAGCCAACCAGAAGAAATGTCAGTAGCCTGTACTGGTTTAGGGATTGCTTGGACCTGCCTGACCAATATCCCCAGCCTGGAACTGGAATTTTTGTTAGCTGGTTTATGGTTTATGGTTTCTTCTTCTGTGCTTCTCCTCTGCTTCCAATCTTTTCTCCACTTTCTACTTAATTCTGTGTCCTTCCTTCTCCTTTGATTGTGCACTTCCCTGTGAGCAGTTCTCGGCTTTCTTAGGCACTACTTTTAAATTTGTGGTATATTGATGTACTACTGTTCTGGGGATCGAGTCCACAGCAACGCACATGTTACCAATAGATGGACTAGAGAGGTCCATTCTCAGCCCATTGAACTGTTTTTAAATCACATTCTTAGTCATTAAGACAAATAAATGAGCATAAAGACATGAAAGCCCATAAGCAGGAAATGTGGTGAGTCCATACCCTAATTGTTATGGGGAAATTTCTATCCACACACATACAGAAATTATCTTCCGTGAATCATCACATGTTGAGCTCTTCCTATTCTCTGTGAGCTTTCTGTAATACATATTAGCGTCATTTTCACACAGACACACCCCAATTCTATTCATCCAAGTGATGCATGGCCAAAGAGAGGCGGGTTCTTAATCGGGTGTGATTAAAGAACGTATTTCCCCAGGACTATTGGATTTCATCTTACAGGTTCTAACATACTAAACCAGTAGAATAGATATCAGTTATTCAACATAATACAAGGCAACATAAACCTTGGACTTCTGAAGCTGAATTAGTAAGCTTGAGTTATTAGTAAGATGACCTCATAGACTTTGAAGGTCACAGTGGCCTTATATGTCACAACACATAGTATGTTTTCTAACTAGAGGGAGCTCTTGCCTGTCAACCTCTCATAGGGGCGAGTCACTACTCCACTGTTTTCCACAGACTTGTACATCCTTTGTCTTGTTCAGTCTGCACAGTGGCCTGGCAGCTGCAGCTTGTCAGCTCTTTTTCCTACAAGCACTGTTTCCCCAACACTAGGTTTCCCACCTCTCCTTATAAACGTCCACCAGCTTGTTTGTTAGCCAGACATTGGGTAGAAGTTGAAGACAGAGTCCTGTCCTCTTATCAAATGATCCTTTTGGTGCCATTTGGGGCTTCCAAACGAATGGGGACCCCTTCAATGATCTCACTTTTTTTCTGTCATTAACTGTCAGTCACTGGGTTCAATGGTCAAGCACCTACTGACCTCCAGATTGGACACTGCCATCTTTGACAGCCACGCCTTTCTAGGTACACTCAAACTTGTCTTGTGCTGTCTTTATAAAGTTTGTGTTCCCTATGTACTGAGGGAAGAGATATTTATGGAAGTCTCTTAATGTGTACAAAATATGTGTAAGTCTTCTGCAGGTTCACTCTATTAGGAGCATGTGGATCAAGGAACGCTGCCAGCTAGATCTAGTTTATCCATTGGAGTAGATAGAAACTGGTCTAGTTTAGACCTAGCCTTGAAATGTTCGAGCTATCCCTGAAATGATTTCCCTTGGAAGTAGGATTGAGCCAGCAACATCTGAGGACCCAGGAAAATCTTGCTGTAATGTTGTCAGCCTGGGGATTTACATGTACTTTTACCAGTCCAGAAAAATATATCTATTATAAGCCCACTGTAATGGCTTATTGTATTGTGTTGAAACCAGTAATGCAAAAGGATCTGAATAATACACACACTCACACACATACACCATCCCTCCTTCATCTTTTCCATCTTTGCCAGTCCATTGATTGGCAGATTGAACATGACAAATGCAAAGAAAATGCCCCAAGTTGTAATCCTAGAGACCTCCATATGGCAGGCTCTTCTTTTAAATATGCCACTTCTGGTCTGCAGCAATATATACTTGCTAAACTTCTGCTCAAAACCCAAAATGTATCAAATCCATTCATCCCCTTACCAGGCAATTACTTACAGCCAACCCCCTGTATCCAAAGAGTCTGCTCCTGTTCATTCCACTGACCTTGGATTTTACTTAACATCTGTGGACTTGCTCTTGTCAGCATCCCTCAGTCGTATGCTTAGCAGCTGTGGGAAGCATTTGCATTGTATCAGATGCTATCAACAGCCAGATCTTATCGGAGGTGTACAAGAAGATGTGGGGAGGTTAAATGCAAATATTTCACTGGTTTCTGTCTTACACCTTGAGTATCTGTGGGGTTTTTTTTCTACAGGTAATGGGGATGGGGCAAGAACCAGTTCTCTGATACCAAGGGACCACTCTAGTCTGTGCAGGCATAGCCTCTTCAAATGACAGTCAAGTGACGTGATTGTCAAATAGAAAGAAAGAATAAAATTTGGTTAACTTGTTGTAACTGGTGTCAAATGTGATCCCAGGCTAGCTTATAATTTATAATTATACACAAGATTTCATAATACAGTGAGTAAAATGTAATCAACACTAGTTCTATAGAAATTCAGGCTGGCTTGCATGCTTTTAATAAACAGCTTCTTAGCCTTACCTTTGCTTCAGGCGTGTTGAGTAAGAGCCTTATGTGTGACCAATAATACTTACTGTGGAGTTTGGGATTATAACAGATGCCTTACGAAATCCACGCACACTATGGGAGGGGAGCGGGCTGCAATGAGAAACTTTCCTTAAGAAAGACACAGTGGTTATCCTGTTAATTCTTTAACTTTCTGCACTTCAGTAGTGTCTGATCACTTGTGTATTTCCTTAGGACACAGCATTGCAAACATTTATAGGGATACAGGAAAGGGATCTTTTCTAGATATTTGCAGTGGGTACACAATTAAAGAAGAGCTTGGAAGTGCACATTTAAATTTTAAAATCATCAACTCTTATTTTGTTACTGTGCAGCTTAGGTAATAGCATGAATATATGAGCAAGTATTTTGAAATGGTGTCATTATGGCAACACCTGCGGAGGGTCCATTGTTAAAGGAACATCACAAAGGAGAAAATGTACCTCAAGAGTCATCACAATTTTGCCAGCAGGCCTATTGTTCATACCCTCTAGTCTGCGTTGCATATTTCTTCCACACAATGAAGTGTGCAGTTTATTTAAATGAAAACTTAGACGATTTAAGTTAATGGAGTCTTATTCGAACAATGAACAACTACTGTTGAGTTTCTTCATTTAACGATAGTACAGGTATATTAAATTATCTAAGTGTGCATTTGAAAAGAAAGTATGGTATCATTTAGAATGTTCACTATATTCTAAAGCAGTGCTGCTCAACCTATGGGTCACACCCCTTTGG